AGCAGACTGGTTAGCATTCACACTACCCCAGAGTATTCGTCACAACCACCCGCCTTACCAACCGCGATCATGGACTTTGGCGCTAAAAATGCGATAAAGGACATGATAAAAAGAAGTCAGCGATGGTGAGCCGTGGTCGGCAGAGGAGCTCGCACATATCAAGAATACTGTCAATAGGTGGCGTTCGGAGGATCTGACTAGTAGAAGAGAGACATCCTCGCCCGCCTACAGATTGTCAATGCGAGGTTGACACACGGATGCAATGTCGGCGTATGGGTTCGGCATGTTGTGAAATGTTGCTTGACGTGTCTACCTTGTTGAAGCATCCAATTTCTTTTTTGCATAAAGAGAGGTGTAGGAATGCCAACCGATATGCGAATCGTGCATAGCAGCGAGTATTTGGACCCCTGTTCCGTTTCTTGGAGGAAACGGGATTGCTCTATTGTATACAGTAAAATAGTTCTGTATACATAGTTTGTATTGAGAGTGAATGCATTTATTAACATCAATGTGTTTTAGTGGTTTTTACTCTCAGGAGCTGGGGAGCAAGGTTGATTTCGGGATTCAAATTTTTAGCCAGGACACAAGAATTTTATTTAAAGTAATTGTTTTTTTACAACTGTTTAACACTATATTAATCTGAATCCGTGTTGTCTTATGAGATGGGGGTAGCGAAGAAAAAGAAGCCTGCCTACCTTTCCTGAGGTAGTCCGGTGCCGTGGGGTGGTTCTGTCGGGAAACTTCCTCTTTTTCTTCCCTCTTTCTCCTCATCCTTTCTCTCCGATTCAGCAGTCAGCCATTCGTCATCTACCATCCAGAAATCTCCTGGTTAGAAACCAAACTCTTCCCGTCTCTCCTCATTTTATGGATATATCCCCCACACCCGGTGCATGTGGACTCTCCCCTTGGGCCGAACCGACCGGGGGGTTAGACGAGAGATAGGTAGTGATGAGGCCCTGGATAGGGCCGTCTGTGGTGGTTCACCGCAGACTCTCTCTCCCCCTTCGGTTTAGCGAAATCCCGGATTGCAGCACGAAAGAACTTCTTCCTCAAGCTTGGAGGAACAAAGGCTGGAGCCACTTCTGTCTCGGTTTGACTTTAGTGCACTTCGCTGTGATTGCAGAGCAGGCTCGCTTATAAGTAGGTGCTGAATATTCTTTCACTCCCTTTAACGAGTACTGATGGCAGCCTATTGGTACTTGTGGGTAACTCCAGCGACAGGATTTTTTTGGGAGGCCAAGATACAAAACCTTAGAGGTCTATAGGAATCTGTTTTACCAATTTATGTCGTTTGCCATAGTACCTTTTGGTCCTCTCATGAGCCTTGTGCAAATTGGCAACGACTTGTGCCCCCACCTCTTTGGAAGTTAATCTGGTTCCTCAAGGAAATCGAAGTCTATATTCTTGTTCAATATCGATAACATACATATATCATCATCACATCACACAAAACATATAATATAACATATGAAACATTCATTATATTCCACACATGAAACATTTTTACATAGTCTAATTTTTCAACAACATCAGGGGACATACACAGTTAAAAGTATCTGAGATAGTGGATCAGCGATCTGTGCCTGATGCCGTGCTTCTATTCGCCGCATACGTCATTCGGGATGTCGTATTTCTTTTGTTAGGGATTTAGTTGTTCGCAGTATGCTATTATGTGCCATGATAAATTGTCCACACTAGGGGAAACTAGGTGTTCTGACCCCCTTTAAAAGGTGTCATTGTGGATCTTGATATGACCTATATTCCATTTTCATTCTGTTGTTTGTACGCACAAGTATGTACGAGAGATACAATGCATCGTCATTCATAAAGGAAAACACATAAAATTTTAAAAAATGTATAAAAAAATAATAGTGGCGAAATAAGAAAAATTTTCATGAATTAATGATACGGTAATCAGCAACAATCAAGAAAATAGGGGAAAAAGTACACACGCTAAGCTACGACCTACTTCGATATCATCGGCCGTTTTAAAAATTCGTGTTTTTAATTTTCAGTATGTGATAATACGGGTTTCTATGAATATTCAGTTTTTACAGATTATTTTTATAAAAATCTATCTTTTTGAAAATTTAATCATAACCGAAATAATCTTACAATACTAAATTATACAAATTATTATTTTGTCCGTGTGGATTTCGATCTTCGATTCGATGTATCACTTCAGTCACGATAGCTCAAGTGGTAGAGTAGCGGCGTATCTAGCCCCATGTCGTGGGTTCGAATCCTGCTCGTGCCATTAACTTTTTTCATCTCAACTAAAAACCTTAATTAATTGCAAGATATTAATTGGCAAAGCGGACCTCGAAGGCTATGAATTTAATAAGTTAAATGAAGTATATCTTCACTAAAGCTCTCTGTGCCCATTTCATTTGTCGCCGACAATCAAATAGATTACCCGACATTTGCAAAATGTCAAATAGGAGGGAAAATTCAAAAGGTGGGGTTGAGATGGGAAGTTAGTGTCCGCGTGGATCGAAGTCACGATAGACCAAGTAGTAGAGTAGCGGCGTATCTAGCCGAAGGTCGTGGGTTCGAATCCTGCTCGTGACACTGATTTTTTATCTCAACGAAAAACCTTAATTAATTGAAAGATTGTTTATAACAGGCAATATTCGACCGCTCTTATAAACGATATACATGCTAGTTCAGTCAGTTGTCAAAAGCAATTGGTTGATCGTAAATTGTATTTGCAGTAGAATGCCGGAGAAAAAGCGTGTGTAACAAAAACCGTCGAGGAGAGACGATTTTTAATACTTTTCTTTTAGGAAAAAAAACGAACTTGGTATAGGGCAAAACAGGTTTTCTCCGTTATTTATAAAATATTCTTCGAAATTAATTAAAATCATTTTTAAAATCTACCTTAAATTGTATAAATAACGAGTCGCCTACTTCACCCTTTCATTCTACGGATAGGGATAGAGATAAAAGAGGCGGACGAAAATACTTCTGCACCTCGAAATGAGTAGATCTCTTGGCTCCTTTATTTTTATAACCCACTGGTCAGTTTTAGGTAGTTAATCAACCTGCATTGCCTTGCCAGCTGATCATTAATGTAGAATCTAGATTCCGGCTTTTCTGCTCCTCGTTAGACAAATCTACACCTACATAAACCCTCACAAAACCACAAAACGTGCTCCGCTTCCTCCTCTTCTACCTGGCGATATGTACACAGTGTTTCTTCTGTCTGTATTCCTTTCCTGTGCATGTGCCTTCATAGGGTGCACTGCCAGGAGACCTACCATAACCTAGTTCTGTTGTGGCTTCCCTCCAATAATTCCTTTGTGAGTTTTGTGAATGTCTTTTTTATGCATCTGTTCACGACGATCCTCTCCAATAGAAACATTCCGTCGTTTTTCTCATTCCTAAACCTCACAAACTTCTCAAACCTACATCCTCTTTATTACTTTTTTTACGAGGGTTCGCAAGGTTATATCGGCAACCCTCGGGGTGCCAGTGTTTGTGAAAAAAGCCCATTTGTAAGTATGTCGGCTTCGAATGCAGGGCCGCTGGATTCGAACCCGGGACCTTTACCTTACAGTGAAGAGCGCAGTGCCAACGCCTAAACCGTTGCGGCCGCCGACGCCCCTGACCATCAGCTTTCATCCTTCAACATCTATACCCTTGAAAGAAGTCTTTTAAAAAACTTAATATCCATCCAAGATACTCATCAATTTATCCGTTCACATCAATTCAGATTCCATCATTCTAAGATCCAACAAGCTTTCAGTCATCGACACTATCTCCTCTGCTATAGAGAGTAAAGAGTATTGCTTGTGTTTTAGTTGTACCACGGCTTTTGGTTGAGTCTGACACCCAGACATACTTTATAAACTTAAACGCTTCCTACCAAGTCCTTATGACCTTATTCTTAAATCCTATCTACCCGACCGCTGCTTCAGAGTTAGTTGCGGCAACGTGTTCTCGCAAGTCAGATGTAAGGTGGCGTCCCAGAGGGGATCTTTTCTATCCTTTATATAATTTATACAGGTGACTATTATACGCCGCATACTATCATCTCGGACGATCGCAATTTTGTTCTATAACTTGAATCCTATTCAAACTAGGTACAACATTCAAGAACACTTTAAATTTGTCGAATACTGGTGCAAAAAGTGACGGATAAAATTAAGTAAATTGCATTCATTGTCATTGTGAAAACAGTCTTGCCCTAAACAATAAATCAAAGACAAAGAGGAACCGACTTCCAATCAAATAGAACTAGAGCTAGATAGCAGAATGACGTGAAATCCCCGCATAAGACTTAAGAGACAACTACTGAACAGAAAATTTGGACAACTCTGCCTTAACAGCAAAACTAATTTGACTTGCTACTTTACCATTTTGTACATACGGAGCGGAACTGTGGTGTTCTCCAAGCCTCCAGTAATCTCACTAACCACAACATTAACATTCTTGTATTACGAACTCATCCAGATTCCCGAGTGCTGGTTAGGTTGGTTTTTAATGGCATATGTCTTCCTGAGTAGCACTGGCTTTACTGTTAGTTTGGGGACCGTGTGAAAAACCGTTTTGTTATAACATTTGTAATATTACAAACAAAATAATAATTTAAAATATTACTCTCAAATAATTCAACAAAAAAAAATTTCTTCGTTTTTATTCAAAAAGAAAGAAAAAAATTCTCATTTTCCATATTGTTTATTTGTGCAGGGAATAGATGCTCAAAAAGTGCGGTCGCAGCAAAACAATTTCAAAACGTCCACGGAAGAAATTTCATTCGAACCGTTTAAAAAAATTGTTGATTCAGTGAAAAAATGTGAAACGGAAAGATTAAACGAAAATGTTTATTCGTCCGGCTATTCATCCCCGTGAATAAATCCGTTTCACGTTCAATAAATTTGCAATTCAATCATGCACCGAAGAGCGGAGGTGTCATTCGCCCAGTCATCAAATAATATTTTTTAATTTTTGACGATTTTATTTACCGCTATTTACATTTTGGATTGTGCGGTTCTCACCTCATTGCTGTAGTGGACTGCCGGGAGAGGAAGCCAGTGGTAGCCAAGAGCACGATCCCAAAGCATCCCCTTGTTCCATACTTCCATGAGGAGTCCTGTGTTGACATCGTTTGTCTCACTGGAAAATAAACACACATTAATACAAATTTAAAGAACGAACGTTTAATTTCAAAACAAATCATAAGACATAAATGCAGTCCACTTAAAGTAGAGAAAATAAATATTATAAAAAAATTCACTAGTTTTCGTGGTCCGCTTGACCATTTAATTAAGGATTTTAGATGAGTTAAAAAGTCAATGTCACGAGCGGGATTCGAACCCACGATATTCGGCTAGATACGCCGCTGCTGTACCACTTGAGCTGTCGTGACCTCGATCCACTCGGACACTAACTTCCCATCTCAACCCCACCTTTTGAATTTTCCCTCCTTTCGGCCATTTTTCAAATGTCGTGTAATCTATTTGACACTGAGTGTCAATCCTTTTTAAAAAGATGGTTCCTACTCACAGTAAGTTGTATCGCAACAATCCGGATTTCGAGCCCATTAGCTCTTCATCAGGTTTTTACAAACACGTTCTCGACATGAATTGCAGAAGTGAACCCGCTGATACCCCCGTCAATGCGACGTTACAACGAGCAGCTGGTTTTTCAATGGCGCTTAGTTTGAACGTGCGAAAAGCAGGAATTATAACACAAATAACTATAGTAAATAGGGTAAGAAATTAATTATAAATTAGTGATTAAAGATAATAGATAAAAAAATTAGAATAATACCTTAATATTATTAAATTATTATAAAAATAATAACAATTAAAATAATAATTTAATTATTTGGACGTTTAATATTATTTATGTACATATTACAAAATGGGAGGTAGATCAAAATCTGTTATATTATTAAAGCATTTATCACCATGTTCAATTTTACATTTTTTATTTTCAAGTTTCTCAAACCAATCTACTTCTCTCCCTTTGTTGAAAATATGTCACACTGTTGTATTTAAACTTGAATTGAAATTATGTTTTGTTCCTTTTAGATGGTCTTTAAATTCCGAAAATTTGCTTGATTTAGGCAAGTGTTCTTTTACTCTAGTTTTTATTTCTCTACTTTTTCTCTAATATTACAATCATGACAATTAAGTTGGTACACCCAGCTTTTTGTCAAGTTGTCTACCTTATCTTTAGGTTTTGAGAAGATGTTTTTTTAGTGGCCCCGTACTTCCATAAGCTATTCTAAAACCTTCTTGTTTAAAAATTTTACTTACTTTTTCCGATAATTCACCAATGTATGGCAAACAACGGAAACCTAATGATTCATTTATGGTCGGGTGGCTGAGTCCTGTTGTTGATTCTTTTAAAGTTTTTTTAATCTTTTAACTAGCAACCTATCAATAAATATTTCTAGATAACCGTTGTTTTTTGCTATGGTTTTAATAGTTTCTAATTCTTTTTTATAGTTAGCCGGTTTTAATGGAGGTTTTAACATACGGTCTATGAGCCAAATGAAACCGGCAGCCTTTTGGGACCATGGGTGGGAAGAAACCGCTGGAATCATAGTGTCTGTAGTTGTGGGTTTTCTATATACGTTTACTTCTATTAGGTGGTTTATTATTGACAAATTTAGGTCTAAAAAGTTCAAACAACCATCTTTGCTAATTTCCAATGTGAAATTTATATTAGGGTGTAGAGAATTAATTAGTTGCAGGAATTCTTTGAGATCCTCTAATGTTCCAGACCATATGCATAAATTATCGCGTTTCCAAAAATGAACAGATTTAATTAATTACAATTAATTAAGGTTTTTAGTTGAGATAAAAAAGTCAATGGCACGAGTGGGATTCGAACCCACGATCTTCGGCTTGATACGCCGCTGCTCTACCACTTGAGCTATCATGACCTCGATCCACTCGGACACTAACTTCCCATCCCTACCCCACCTTTTGAATTTTACCTTCTTTTTGCCATTTTTCAAATGTCATGTAATCGGATTGGATTCTCTACGACAAATGAAATGGCCACGGAGAGCTTAAGTGAAGTATACTTCATTTTAAATTTTTAAATTCACAAATTTCGTGGTCCGCTTGACCAATTAATATATTACAATTAATTAAGGTTTTTAGTTGAGATAAAAAAGTCAATGGCACGAGCGAGATTCGAACTCACGATCTTCAGCTTGATACGCCGCTGCTCTACCTCTTGAGCTATCGTGACCTCGATCCACTCAAACACCAACTTCCCATCTCAACCGCACCTTTTGAATTTTTATTAAAAGGTGCGGTTGAGATGGGAAGTTGGTGTCCGAGTGGATCGAGGTCACGATAGCTCAAGTGGTAGAGCAGCGGCGTATCCAGCCGAAGATCGTGAGTTCGAATCCCGCTCGTGCCATTGACTTTTTATCTCAATTAAAAACCTTAATTAATTGTAATATATTAATTGGTCAAGCGGACCACGAAATTTGTGAATTTAAAGATTTAATTAATTTGTTGTTTGATTTGAAAAGGTTTTTTCAAAATTATCCATGATGGAAGGGGAAATAGGAAGGTTTTACTGTATAAAGCCGTCGAAATATGTGTTTTGTATGTGAGTGTATTTAAAAACAAGAATATTTTTTTTACAAATAAATTTAAATGAGTACAAAAGTGTGATATAGATGTTTCAGGTTCCCTACCCATATACTGTCGACTAATGTTTGTTGTACAACCTAAAAAGAACTATTTATATAAAAGGAAAAAACATAACTTAAGAATTACTTTGAGTGTATGGGGAGGGGCTGATGGTGAATTAACATCCACATCGTCCCTGGAGTAGTGCACATGACATGGGTCGACCCAAATTAGATTAGTTTGTTATTGAGCACTTCATCTACTAAATTGAAAGATTGCATTATATATAGGTGTGAATGTAATTATATGCGCGAGTGCTTATTGAGTGTGGGTTGCTGTATTTCGCATGCGCTCGAGGCTGAAATGGCCAAGTTGTCGGATGCCCTTCGGAAGGAAAAAATAGCAAACCATCATGTCCAAACCTTTGACAAGCCTATACCGTTCGAAGTATATAGCAGTTTTAATACCTTTAATAAATACTTTAAGTCTTACTACTTTTATGACCAAGAAAGATATTGATCGACAACCAGATCGGTTTTCCACGCTAGCCGTATTTCACATATAAACTCGGAAAATATTTTCTTGTTGCCAGGAAGATTTAACATCACCTCCAAACAACTGTGCCATGCACAGCCCTAAAGGTAATATTCTGAGAATTGTCACTGTTTTATTTTCATCGCTGGGTAGTCACGACGGCAAAAGCTCCCACATGCGATCCACCCTTTTTTGGCCATCATGCGATCACAGAAATAAACGATTGATTGAGTTATTTAAATCGCCAACACATTTTCCTTGTCTTTGTAATATAGCGACATATTATTGTATAAACGGACCTCTTTTTGTATTTAAAAGCTTAATTCTGTCGTTACGTTTTCTAAAGTAATGAAGAATCAAAAGCATAATTGGCTGAATGTTTTGGTAAGTCATAGTATTTTGAGTAGTTTATATTGCATGTTTTTTACCCATATAGTCTTTTGAATTTTCCTCCCTTTTTGCCATTTTTCAAATGTCGTGTAATCAGGATTTGATTCTCGTCGACAAATGAAATGGCCATGGAGAGCTTTACTGAAGATATACTTCATTTTAACGTATTCAATTCACTAGTTTTCGTGGTCCGCTTGACCAATTTATATCTTTCAATTAATTAAGGTTTTTTGTTGAGATAAAAAATCAGTGTCACAAGCACACACGACCTTCAGCCAGTTACGACAAAAAAATGGCAAAAAGAAGGGAAAATTCGAAAGGTGAGGTTGAGATGGGAAGTTAGTGTCCGAGAGGGTCGAAGTCACGACAGCTCAAGTCGTAGAGCAGCGGCTTATCTAGCGTTGAAATGAAAAAGTTAGTGTCACGAGCAGGATTCAAACCCACGACCTTCGGCAAAATACGCAACCTCCCATCTCAACCTACCTTTTGAATTTAAAAAAAAGCAAAAAGAAGGGTTAATAGGGAGGTGTGGTTGAGATGGGAATTTAGTGTCCGATTGGATCGAAGTCACGATAGCTCAAGTGGTAGAGCAGCGGTGTATTTATCCGAAGGTAGTGAGTTCGAATCCCGCTCGTGACACTGAATTTTTCATTTCAATCAATACCTTACTAAAGATTAATTAATTGAAAAAAGCTTTTTAGTCAATCGGACCACGAAATATAATGGAATTAATGTAGAACAATGTTAACACTAATGGTAAACATTTAAAATAAATATAATTTGTTGATGTAAATGTAAATATTTGAAACAAATGTTTATTATTACATACTTCTATATCTCACACATTATTTGTATAGTCGTAGCAAAAATGTAAAACAGAAATGATATTTACATTTTTCAAAAGGAATATGAGTTATTTATTTTGAGAAAAGAACTGAAATGTAGAAAAATGTCAACTGGTTCGTTAAAACTAAAACATCGTAAGAGCAATCGAGAGCAAAAAGAGAAATCAAGGATCAATTAGGTTTAAACACTGCGAAGACAATTTTGTTTGTAGAAATATATAACAGTATATAACAGGTATGGTGATTACAGGCGTTTAAAGCTAAAGATAAAATCTTAATTTTTTTGTAATTACATGTTCTAGAAAATGTTTTTTAAAGGAAAGAGAATAAAAATGTACTTAATGCAAATACATTTCCCCTGGAATAAATTAGGAGGCGGAATCCTTAATTTCGTCTATCTATTACTCCAACGTAGTTTTTTCAAATAAAAAAGTATTTCGCATCAAAATGTTTTCTTGCTCGGGAAAGTAATTTTTTTACAGCATGTAATTTTTGTCGATTCTTTTTATCAAGAAGATTATAAAATTTGCTTTAGATAGACTGATTTCTTCGAAAAATAAGCATGCATCTATAAAGCGATTTTCTTTTGCTGGTTCATATTATAAGGTTGTCAAGCAAGTCACGGGACAACATCTTGTCATTTATCATAAAAACGGGGCTTAATAATAATAAATGTATTTGCATGGCAGGTGTCACCTTGGAGACGTTGTGTATTTACTACATAAGTTATTTTTATCTTAACTTT